GAACGGACGGAGTCCCTGTGGAAAAGGTTATATGACTGTTTCCATTAACGTAACAATGTGAGGCGTGGATCCTGACTGGTATGGAAGGAATGGGTTCAGGGGCTGCTTGGGACTTTGCTCTGGAAGAGGTTCACACCGTATGAGAAGGTGGGACCATCTTGCTTCCAGCCCTGTGAACAGGTGGCTACCTTAAGAACCAGGCATAAAAACAGAAGTTCTCTCTTACAAAAGAAAAGGCTGATCCCCTGAGTGGATTAGGGGTGAGAGAAGGAGGAACACAGGGTGCACAGAACCACCATTTGCCTTACTTCTGGTGTCTCTGACCCCTGAGGGGACCCAGACAGCCTCATCCTCAGGCCCCCAGGCCTCCATCTCCCACTCCTCTGGTATTTCCAGGCCTGCTGAGTTAGAGCTTAGCTACCTCCTTCTCCTTCCTCCACTGGAAACAGAAGCTCCAGCGAATGTTTCTAACTCCTGAGTCCACTCAGCCATGTCCCCCTTGCAAAATCCTCCCCTTCCCGCACCCCCCTGCACCCAGCCAGCCAATCCGCGGCCTGCGAGCCTCTCCAGACCCATCTCTCCGGGCCCAGGCGGGATAAAACCGGTCGTTGATGCCGGGTGGATGGGAACAAACTTCGGAAGGAGGAGAGACGCGCGGCCCAGGGCACCCTCGCGGGCAGACCCAGGCAGAGAGGGCCTGCGGCCGGCTGGCCAGGTATGCTGCGCAGGGGTTGGCTGAAACCTGACTGGGCGAGAGGGACAAGGCGTAAAACAAGGGAGCGGGTCCCAGGAAGCCTGGCAGCCTTTTCCCTCTCAAGTCAAACCGGATAAGGCTGGGGCGGCAGAGGAAGAGGCACCCCGGCTGGAGTTTGGGGCTGCCTCGGCGGACCCCGATCCCGGATCCTCCGGACAGGCGCGTGTATTAGGCCTGGCTGGCCACACTTTGCCTAAAAATCCTGCGACTCCTGCCTCGAGATGAAAGCTTCAGGGGTAGGGCCTGGGGAGGAGGTCCAGGACAGGGGGCCGGGAGTCTCATGCCCCTGCCCCTGGGTCTGTGCAGGGCAGCGGCGTGGCGGCGGGCGCAGCGGGGACCTGCGTGAGGAAGCCCTGAGCCCTCGGCGGGCTGCGAGCGACTCCCCGGCGATGCCTCACAACTCCATCAGATCAGGTAAGAACGCGGCGTGGCCAGAACCCCGAGCCCCCGCGTCGCCGTGCGTCCGTGCGTGCATTCGGGTCGGCGGGGCTGGGGAGCTTGCGCTCGGGGCTCGTGGGACCCCTTGCGTGGGGGCGCAGCTGGGAATGCCTTGGGCCTGGCCTTCCGTGGCGGCCGCCTCGCGGCTCCCGGGCCCTGAGGTCCCCCTCGGTCGGCCAGAGCCGCCCTCCTCAGGCCTTGGTTTCTGCGGACCACACGGAGAGGTGAGGAGCTCTCCATGGGGTCAGAAGGGTGTCCTTCGCGCCCCATCCCCGGCTTGCCTGGCCCATCCGAGTGGGCGTCCTGCGTGCTCCCAGGCCCTGCGCCACGCAGGTGCTGGACCTGCAGCTCCCCTGCCCCCGACCTCTAAGCCCTCGTCCCGGGTGCGCGCAGCTCTTGCCCAGGGCTCCCCGGGCAGGACCCTGAGCCCCGCGCACCTCTCAAGCCAACGGGAAAGGAGCCCGTGATGCGGGGCCTGGGAGACGTGAGCGCACTCGGGGGCTTTCAGACTCCTCCTTGCCCGGCACCTGGCAGGCAGGGACCTACCGCGCTCGGGGCGTCCGGCCTGCGAGGACTGAGCTGCCCGCCAGCCGAACCCCCTCCCCGCCGGCGCCCGGGCTCAAGGCCTTCAAAAGTGCTCGGGGTCCCTGGCTGTGGCACCAGATCTCGCCCACTTCCTGGCCCCGGAAGGAGCCTCAGGGTCGGGGCCAGT